CCCTTTCTTGAGCATCTGCAGAATGAAGCACTCTTACCTGTTCTTGCTTTGCAACTATACCCATTGGTTCATTAGCAAAGAAAAAGGGAAAATCATAGTCTTAAAAGTCTGTTCCGATTTGCACTTTCGGGTGTATATTATTTATTTATTATTTTATTTTCATCCCATTATGTCATTGATTATATTTCCCCTAACACGCACACGCACACACACACACATCTCTCTAAAAAGAAGCACAGGGAAGAAAAGAAAGGAAAATAATAAAGAAAAGAGAGAGACACTGAAAAGCACTAAAAAAGGAAATGAAGAAAGAAGAGAGGAAGGAGGGAAAGGGGAAGGAAAAGGGATAGGAAGAAGAAAGAAAAGAAAGGAGAGAAGAAAGAATATGATAGATGAGCAAAAGTGACGAGTTAATTCTATTAATGCTAAAGGTAAGAACCAGGACCGAGGTTGAAGTTACAGGAGGAAAACAATGATTCCATGTAATAAATTTTTAACAACTAGAGATTTTCAAAAAGAAACAGGTAGCCTTATGAAGTGGTGTACTTTTTACAGCAACGGTTGAAGCAAGAAGTGGATAATCAGCAAACAAGGATATGCTGAGGGATTTTCTGCATTGTTGGAAAAAATATATGAAAAGACTTACAAGGGAGACAAACCATAAGAGACTCTTAATCTGAGGAAACAAACTGAGGGCTGCTGTAGTGGAGGGGGTGGGAGGGGTGGGGTGGCTGGGTGATGGACATTGGGGAGGGTATGTGCCTAGTGAGTGCTGTGAATTGTGTAAGACTGATGAATCACAGACCTGTACCCCTAAAACAAATAATACATAATATGTTAATAAAAAAATCAAAAAAGAAAAATCTATTATAGTTCTATACAGTAACAATAAATAATCTGAAAACAAAACTAAAATATAAAAAAAATGACTTACAAGGTCTATCCTAGTACTAAGATTCTATTTAACATTCACTGTTAAGATTTTCATTGTCACAAACACATGTGCGTAGGAGTATGCTCTTGCTCTCCCTATATCTCTCTTTTTCACCTAACCACACACACAATTAAATCGTAATTAGGTGCAAAATAACTAATAGAATAATTTACTATTATTTCAGGTATTTCCATATAAGCATTAGAAAATAACACTCATCCTAATGTGGATAAAATCTCCTTTGTTCACTAACTCCACTATGTACTTATTTTGCCATGTAATTCTTGGTAAACTATTTGAGATTCAGAAAATGTAGTAATCAGAAAGGTTTGTATTAAAACCATTTTCAAAAATGTGGTAATCTATTCAATAATCATTTATTTTGAAGGTCAAAGCTAAGATTTTGAAGGCTTAAGAAAGGATGTATATCAGAAATACAATTCTACTGAAAACTATACTGAATATACAATTCTGTACTCAGGAAACATTGCTTGAGCCTTCAAGTCTTTCAGTTAGTCTCTGATCTGACAGACTCCAGAAGGTATTATTTCCCTATTTATTTCCTTCTCTGACTTTTTAGAATCAGAAGTAAAAATCAATAGTTGCCCTCTATGTTCTAAAATTAGTTTTTCTCCTGTGGAGGAATAAATGTGTTTTCCCTTTTAAGTTTGTTGGTACTACAGTGTTGTTACAATATGCCAAATTCAGACGTTACATAAATGGGTTATTAATAAAACAAATTTATTAAGTGTATTCGAAACAAATTCTTGAGGTTTCATGTATTGAAGCTATATTTTAAAATAAAATTCCATACGGTGCTAGCCTCCTCAGAAAATAGAAAATGCAGCATTTGGGGTGTATATTGACCTATAAATTGCCACATCCTCTGCTTTAACTCATTAACTGTTTAAAATGTGTGGCTGGTGTATATTGTGCGGCTCATTTCAAAAGCAATATATTAATAAACAGTATGGCTCAGAAAATCCAAATTATGTAAAGCACTTTTCTCTGTAAAATAATTTAACAAAATCAAAAATGGGTGCATAAACTGTGAAAGCTCTAACAGGATAATATTGGAAACTTCAACATTAGAGGAATGATCTGATAAAGTATAAACATAATTGAATATTTTATCCATCAAAGTAATAATTATGAAGACTATATCAAAATATGGAATAGGATTTCAAATATATGGTTAAAAAACAGAATTATCTAAAATTATGTATATTTTACAACTATGGATATTTACATATGAAAGGGATGTGCAAAAGTGAAAAGATTTTAGAGTTTATATAGTTCTTGGACCCTGAAGTCCATGTATAAGTGAAGAATCTATAACTAGATTAGTTAGAGAATGGTGTAGTTAGTAGTACTTCCCAGGGTAGTTAGGGAATGGATTTTCTTTATTTCTATTTTATGGAGGAGGACTCATAAAATCTGTACCTTTACTCTTAATTAACCAGTGGAGAATTAGAAATAGAAAAGATAGTACCTATTTGTTAATCAATAGTCATTCTAATATGCTGCCATAATTGAATTTATTATCAGTTTTGCAAGGATTATACTATTTGACCTTGAGTGCTAAATAATTATGTGGCAAGATGTAGTATACTGGTAATATTATTGTTTTATGACATTGTACATTAAACTGAAAATTAACCATAAGATTGTATACATGAAAAGGACATTTTCAAAAATTGTAATGAATTGATATATTTAAGGCAACTTCTAATTTGTATGATTGACCTTAAAGTTATAATTTTTCCATAAAACTCCATTTAATACATTATTATACTATAATTCAAAAACATTAATGCAATTTCCAACAGGGATAAATTTATTAATGGTAGTTTCTTAGTAGTGAATATGACTCAATTTAAATAGTGAATCATCTAAGCATTTTCATATTCACCATGCTATCTATTTCCATTTTAGCTTATAGAACAAACTCTTCTATCTTTTAGCAACTTCTGTAATTATCACTCATTTTTAGAAATATATTTTAGTGCAACAATAATACTTTCATTGAACAGCTAGAAAGAGTTTTAAATATAATTTCTAAAGTACTTATTTCCTTAGGAGAACCAAACTTGTCATTCTCATAAATTTAAGAAATACTTTATCCCCACGATATAAAGGGAACATTTAGAAATAAAATACCAAACTTAATACCTGAGTCTTTCTTAGAAATGTAAAGTATATGTATTATAATCATAGAGAATCAGTCTTTTCAAATTCTATTCTCACCTGCAATTGGTTTATTTGAATAGATTTCTGGAAATGCGTTGGAAAGACATTATGAGTTCATAATGATAATTCTAATTTGAGTTTATCATTACAGAGTTTTTACATACCTCCATTGATTTGATATCTATATCCCCATTTCCCATAGAAAAAACAAACCGACCTAGTCCTCAATAACACCAAAATAATTACTCATTTGCTTTAACCCTCAACATACACAGATTCAGAATTACTATACTAATATAACCAACAACAATATCATTACTAAAAACAGTTTAATAATTTTTACAGGTTGTTTTTTTTTAATCCTTAAAATTATCTCATTAGGATGTATGCTAAGTTACTATGTTTTAGAGTTTTAAGTAGTTACTCTTGGAGGCTGTGCCTCAATACACAGGTTTCTTTCGTTTTTCTTTGCTTTTTTTGTTATTACTTTTTTAAGGGCTAATTTGTTTTCTAAGCATTTAACTATTTACAGGGTTCCAAAGTAAATTTTCAAGGGAAGGCAGATTCTGAGACTTCTATCTTGCAATTTTATAGTGTCCATTCTATTGTCTCCCACCCCTGAAGGTATCATTTTTTTCTATTCTTGGGTTTATCCTTACATTGTTTTTTATACATTCTTCCCACCTTATTTTTTTCACTTAAAAATGTATCCTGAAAAAACTCCATTATAGTTTTTATAGATAGCCATAATTTTCTGGTGGATGTAGCATAGTTTTTCAACCAGTCCCTTTTTGACAAACAGTTAAATTGTTTCCAATCTTTACAAATAAATCTCAGTGAGTAGTCTTGTAAATATGTCACTTTGTGTTCAGTGTATCTTTGGGATAGATTTCAAAAAGCCCAAGTGTAAATGAACATATAATTTGCCTTAAATTGTCGAATTTCCCTTCATGAAAGTTGTACCATTTTGCATTCCCACCGACAATGTATTAAAGCACTTTTCCCTATAGCCTAGTCAGCAGGCCTACTGTCAGATTTTTGGATTTTTGCCAATCTGCTTGGTAAGAAATGGTATCTCAGTACATTTCATTTATATTTCTCTTTTTATGAATGAATTTTAACTTCTATGTAAAAACCTGTTGTATTTAAAAATTAGAATACTTTAAAATGAGGGGGATTTTGTTAGAGAAAAGAATCTATGATATATACATTCTAGGGAAATTTTGGAAGTTTAATGCAAGATTAGGTTAGGATTGGGTTGTTAAAACAATTTTATATAGGGGGAAAAAGACATGATGCTGAAAATAAACTTCAGAAGTTAAATGTTTCAATTTTATTCAAATGTCACAGAAACCATGCAAAAGAAATAATTCTCATGTTGATATGCAATAATTTATAGTTAAGAAGTTTGTGATTTAAACTTTTATAAAGTACTAAGACTTTATAAATTACTAAGTCTTGAGGAGAAAGAAAAGCCTATAAATGATTGTGTAATTGCAGAGTATTTTTCTATAGCAGACTTAGATTGGATAAAATATAAGATCCAAGTGTATTGTACTTCATGTCATAACATAAAACCAAAGCCAGTTTAAAGGAAAATGTCCTCCACTAACAAAGACTAAGATGATGAGTTCTGGCTCTCATTCTTGGACTATTTGAGTTTTTCCTATGTTCCCTAGTAATGTCTCTAAATATATTTTAATACTTTATTTGGATTAAATAGAGTAGCTCCTAAGGCTTTCTTATTAATCTGATATCAACAATTGCTGTCCTCTTCAACAAGAATTATATTTTCCTTGGAAGACAAAATATTAAAGAAAGGATTCTGGAGAATGATTCCTGACAATTAATTCTTAGTTATTTTCTTTCCTTTCAGCACCTTCCCTGATAGGTGTGGTAAGGAAGGACTGGGCATCCCAAAATAGCATTGCCCTATCATGGCAAGCACCTGCTTTTTCCAATGGAGCCATTCTGGACTACGAGATCAAGTACTATGAGAAAGTAGGTCTTATTTGGAGCTTCCTAAAAAACTACATATACATATATATGTATATATGTATATTTTGAGCATGTTGTTACATTATTTTACTTTAAAACCTGTTCTTTGACCTAACTTCATACCTACTATTTCTTTGAAAACTTTCTAATTTACTATTATGCTTATACTTTCTTAATTAATTTGTTTTGTTTTATGTCAGATTATAAAGTAGAAGACACAAGATGTTCATTTCTGTCATGACTTAATATAGGGATTTTTCAAATATAGTAAGAGGCAGTAACTCCTTTAGTTTATAGTTTAGTTGACATAACGTTGTTTCTACAATTCACTCGGAAGACGTGGTAAAATGGAATTGCTCTAACCTAAAGAGTTTGTGTAACCCATATTTTTTGCCAATGAGTTTAAAGTTAACAGTTCACTATAATTTGGAAAGGATGATTTAAGGGATAAATGGAAACAGCTGGTGGTTTAAAATTTTTCTTTACATTTAGGTCAGCTGTTTTACTTTTTTAAGAAGCTAGCAAGATATATCTGGTTAATAAATCAACTTAATTTTAATTTTCATTTTTGTCATTTTAAAATCGTTCTCAGCTACTATATTTTCCCCAAATTATATACTTCCTTATCTTTATTGTATCCACATTCTTCCTTATGTTTTTTCCCCTTATTCCTCACTATTATGATACTGTGCCTGTAGACATTGTCACAGACCACATAACAAGTCTGGTATGTCTCATTGTGCAACTACTGCTCTGGAATATTGATAAAGGGAACATTAAATTTTTAAAAATAAAGTAAAAATCATACACAATTTCTAGTTGTATAGTACGGTAAGAAGGAACTTCTTGCATTTCTGTAACTGACTAGAAGCAAAGGAACATCACAAATAAATTTTTATTTCCTCTGAAGAAATACAAGACAAGAACAGAAATGGAAATCTATCTTTTTCTACTCTATTGCTTCTGAGCAAATATAAGTTTGAAAAAGGAGAGGTAACTCAGTAGCCTGCCTGTATCCATTTTTGACACTCCAGTAATTTCAGCATTATGTAGTCAATGAAAACTGTCATTATGAACCAACAGGAATAACTCCATAGTCTAAGAAAGGGGAAATTGACCGAGTTTTAATTGGATTACAGATTCAGCACATTAGCCAAGCCAGCATGTGCCAGAAATCCTGTTGAGCTATCCTTTCAAATGTTACAACCTCTAGCACGCTGTCACAAAATACACATATTTTCTGTCTACTCGTCTAGATAGATCTTTAGGTATGCAGAAATTCTCATTATTTAAAAAAGCAATGGGCACATATATAAGCAACTTTTCAGAATGAGAATACTCCTCCATGTTTTATGAAGGCTGTATTTTGTACACAGAAAATCATTCTCATTTTATAGTCATTTATACTTCATATGTTTGAAGATGAAGATAACTTGCAATATTTCCAATTAAGGACAAATCATACAGATTCTGTAAAAAGGGAACCATATTCATCCAATCAAAATTTTAGAAATCAATAATATCCTGAAAGATGGTAATTGACATAATTTCCGTGTTTTAATGATAAAATAGGTAATGTTATGAAGGAGTCTATTTTGTAAGAAAATGGCAGTTTTGCTAATGAAGTTACTACACATGTGTAGTAAACCTGGAGTTGGAAGCCAAGGATGCCTATTTCATGTTCTGATTGTGACTCTCATTATGCCTGTGGCCAAGAAAACTCAGTTAATCTCCCTATGTTTCACACTTCACATTTACAAAAGGGAAATGAAGGTATCAACTCTTCAAGTAGGTTGTAAAGATTAATTTTATAAACAGACCTAAAGATGAAAAGCACACTAAATCAGTATTAGAAATCATTTAATTTAAGAAAGAATTAAGGAAATATTTGGCATATAACATAGAACCAGTATACAATAGCATGGGGATTGTATACAAACTAAATAAAAATCATTCTTTTCATACGTAAATACATAATGTATAGGCAACTAATCAACGATGTTAGAATATCAAACCTTTCAGAGTGAGCATAAAATGACTGATAGGATTAAAACTGTTTCCAACTATGGCTTCATACTGTAACTGTGCATTTTACCTATAGGCATCTATAACATGATTTCTGCTTTCAAGAAAATATTTTTATACAATTTATAACTAACACCTTACGATAGAACTCTTAAAGTGCTAATTTCCTTCTTTATTAGGAACCTAAATACTGTTCAGTAAGAAAAGCAAGATACAAAGAAATATATGTACAAATATATGATCCTAATTTTGGAATGCAAATATCCCACTCTATATGTGTATGTATATATGATTATATAAATATAGAGAAATATGGACTGGAACAGAGTGTACACCATGCTGTCTCCAATGTTGCTTGTTGAGTGGGAGTGGCATGGGGGACTGAAGTACATGGATGGAGGCAAGGAAGAGAGAGGGAAGTAGCAAGCATAGATAAATACAGATGGATGGATGAAGGGATGGATCCAAAATAGCTTTGCTTTTTGTCTTCTGTCTAGTTGCCCTTAAGCAAACCCTGAGACAGGATTTTGTAAGCAAGTGATTAATTAAGAAAGCTCCTAGGAAAACCGGTAAAGAATGGGGAAGCAGGACTATGAAGAAAATGCCAGTCAAACTCAGAGTGACCAACGGGAGCTCTGGAGTATAAATTACATCTCACAGTTCATCCTATGGAGATCAAGAAGCTGAGCTACCATACTCTGGCTCCAGGCAATCATTGGCCACAAGTCCTAATGAGGTGTACAGAAAAAAAAAAAAAAGTCAGCAGCACTTCTGGTTCTCTGCAGTGGCTTTAGTAACCCACGTTTAGGTCTATAAAGAAGGTGCCAGATACAAGCCTTTACAGTCAAAAAAACAAACATTGGGGGGTGGGTAGGAGCAGGAGCAGATAAAGGTGATCCAAGGGGGTCTGGTGGTGCACCATTAACTAAGGTACTTCTGTGCTCAGGGAACTGTGAAAGAATTTTAAGCCTAGGCTCATTATAATATTCATGTTCTCTTCAGTCTTTAATATTGGTGCTTCAGTCTTTAATTTATGGGATTTTATACCTTCCATTTCCTTTTAATCAAAGTTACTCTGTATTGCTAACTCATAATTAACCCACAAATGATCAATATTTACACCATTCTCTCAGGAATTCATGCTGTTTTATTATGTTCTCCTTAAGAGCATTATTCTGTAAATTAGGAAAGAAGTTAAGCTGCTTAGAATGTGAAGTGTCCACAAATATCTGAGGTCAAACAACATACTGTTGTTAGCAGTGACCTTTTCTCAGGGAATGTGTAGTATTAGAAAAAGGCCCTGCCCTGGGTGTTCAAAAACTCAATTTTGGCTCAGATCTTAATTTTCTTAGTCCTGTTTCTTCATCTGTAAAAAAAAAAAAAAAAAGGTCTAGTAAGATAATCTCTAGTTCTAGCTGTTTCAAAATTACATCCATACAGTTTATAGATATGTTATCCCATAACTCAAATAACTGTAGTTTTTCATTTATGTCTACTGAAATTAAATGCACACACATTTAAAAAAGTACTTTACCACAGGGAACAGTATTCTTCACATTATAATTATATATAAAAATTAAGACCCTATGTTGTCTTCTGTGTGTGATGAGAAGGGTATGGAGAAGAAAACATATTGCTTGTTGATTATAACTAATTAGATATTGTCTGTTCAGTTAATTATACCCCCCCAATTCTTAGTTACTTTTTTCATACTCAAAAAGTGTTTCATTTTTTTACACTCAAGTGAATAAACTTTGAACATGAAAAGGCACTTAAAATAATGAAGAAAGTCAGGTAAGTTACCAAAAAAATCCTCTTTCATATTTACTTACTAACAAAGTAAAGCCTACTCATGAGGGAACTGTTAAAAAAAAAAAAAAAAGACAAATTAGGTGATACAAACACGCTTTATTTAACACTTCAGGAAGTGGACAGTCTCAGAGAACTGCGAAATGGGGCAGAAGGCAGGAAACTTTTATAGGTTAAAGACTAAGAACAAAGAAGAGAAAAATTGAAAATATCTGATTGGCTGAGGCCACATATTTAATATTATTTGGGGTGAGAAGGAAGGGGGAAAGAAGTGTAGAGTTGGCTTGGCATTTGGGGACTGGCTAACTGGATATACTGTGTTTTTGATCAAACAGAATTTACAGGGATACAAAAATCGTATTCAATTTGCTGGTGTGGCACCCCAGGTAGGAGCAACTTCATCTTGGGCCTAGAAAGTTATTTCAGCAAAACTAAAACATTATCTGCTTCCACCCCCTGTGTCTCCAACTATAAAATTTGCAAACCCTCTTGCAGTCACAAAATATCTAAAATTCCATGGAATATCAAACATGCCCTTTCCTTATTTCTACTCTTCCCTCTCTCTTTACTCTTTTTGTTCTCATTCTTGATTTTTCCTCTCCTTTTGTCCTCTGCCCAGGGCATTTTTCTTTCTCCTGCTTCTTTGTTCTTTTATTATATTTATCAAAGTTAGTCTTTTTCTTTTAAAGATTTATTTGAGAGAGAGAGCACAAGCAGGAGGGGCAGACAGCAGACTCTGTGCTGAGCCAGACACGGGGTTTGATCTTATGACCCTGAGATCAGGACCTGAGCCAAAACCAAGAGTCAGATGCTTAACCGACTGCACCATCTAGGCACCCCTCCAAGTTAGTCTTGATTAGAGTCATGTATGTGTATATCTGACTCTCTCACTGGTTTGTGAGCCCCTGAGGAAAGGAGACCATTTCTTGTTTGTCATTGTCACCCAACGCTCAGTCAGTGCCTAACACTGAAACGCTGTTTGCTTTCAGTCGGATTCTAAATAAATTAGTAAAAATCTTCTCTTTCTTCGGAACTCATTCATAGGAAATTGAGAGAAGTCACCCAGCCACTGTGAAATTACCCCAGCAATTGAAAAAAAAAAAAAAACAAAACAGAGAAAGAACACCAGAACTTTGTTCATAACAAAGACACATACACATGTGTCCATC